CGTCCTTTATCCTCTCGTTCGCAAGGGTAAACTGCATGTTATACATGCAACGAAAGGAAATTCGAGGAGCAGGATATTTAATACGTGACATTGTCTATCGCAATATTACGTACTATATTACCGCAGATGTGTTATTAATATCCTCCATACGCGGCGCAGTCAACAATCTTCCCGCTCCTTTTATCCTGTTATATGCACAAGGTCGGCAAGAAGCTGATGCTTCCATTGTGTATCGGCCACGGCGAAGCTTACCCCATGAAATGGACGCCGGAATATTACGAACAATCTCCTAAAGTACCCCTTGGAAGCACTGTGATGAGGATACTGCCTAAAGAAAAATCTGCGGGAGTAGCTATAACCCCACCAAGCTTTACGACAAAGACTGTCCTGGACGAAATCGCTCTTTTTTTGTTTCATCTATTTCGCTGCAGCACTTCTCAGCTGAGTGCCAACGTTAACCAGAGCTCATTAGGTCCCGAGACAAATAATCCTACGTATTTCTTGTTGTACTCTTTCTACACTTAATTGCGCTATCTAACAAAATGTAAATTTAGTCTAGAAGAAACAAGATTGCTGAAACATGCAATTACGAGAAAGTGTCCATCTATAATTATATGTACACAATGTACAGTTCAGACTGGGTGATTCGAAACAATCTCAATTTTTAATACCCAAATAAAACGTTTAAATTCAACATTCGAATTGTCCCTATAGAATGTTAATTAAAAGATTCCTATGATACGAAATATACGACGAATACACAGATTTTTCAAGGATAAATAGAGACGATCTGACTTCAAGGATCCCACGAGCAAATCAACGCCCCCCCTTATGAGCAATTACACCGTGCAATTGAATGTATTTGCCACTCCCAGTATAATCGTTTTAACTGGCTATGCAAGGTAAATCCTTTGACAGCGAAGCGAGTACAAAGAAATTGTTTTCACATCGACGGGTTCATCTCGAAAGAATACCCCTGCCAGTCACTTGCGAAACCATTGAAGTGACGATTAAGGCTACCGGCTAGAAGGATCGATGAGGCAGAATGGAGAAACAACTTGACAGAGGAACTAGACTCGCCGGTATATTTAACGGTGGAACGGTTCAAAGGGATGGAACGCACAGCGGCAGCGGCGGCGTTCCGGAACACGCCGAGATGAATTAACGAGTATATACGTCGCGTTACAAGAACGAAGCATGCCTTTCGGTTTTAATGTAATGCAAATACCGTCAGAAGCGCAAACATTTCGCTGTTGGTCAATTAATTGGCTCTGGAGCATCAGAGAAAACGAACGTCGGAAGCCCGACGCTGAAACGTTTCGGCAGAATGGACTGCCCTTGAATAACGTGATGCCAAACAGTACACCTAAATGAGCGGCCCCCCGCTAACGAGAGCTTTCACTTCCGAATGTTCAACTCCGACGCGCTCGCGCAACCGGAAATGTCATCGTTAATATTTTATTCGTAGCCGGTACCCGATTGCTTGGTTACGCTGCCTTTATCGATTGGTCGTGTTCATTCAGACAAATGAATGAAACGGGAACGCTGGCGTGTATCAAAACTCCTTGTATGAATCGACGATTACTTTATATTCCTGCTATACGTTCATCCCTATTGATATGGTTTTCTTAAATATTTGATGCCCTATCGATTGGATATGAATAAGTGAATGTAGCAATGTTGTCAGGAAACTTAATTATTTAAAACACAAAGTAAACAGAGATTCACTGGAATTGATGCATTGAGAATTATTTTACTTAGATTCTGGTAAATCGTAGGATTCTATTTCGTGTATATTAATTCCTACGCATCTGCATTTACGCCACATCCATAGTTTATTTACATTTCTTAAAGGTGAAAGGTTAATTATGGACCTTGCATTACTACATGAATTAATTACTTTGGAAACTAACGGATAGACCGACAAATCGTATTAAAATTAATTATTGTGCTAGACCACTCGGGAATGCTAAATTATTTCGTGTAGATATATACATATCAGAAATCCTATTATGAAATCATAATTGTACATCCTATTGTATAAATAGAATATTCGTAATGTTAGTAACTGTTATAAAAGAACTGAATTATTTTCATGGTCTTTCGGTTATATTAATAATTTCATATCAAAAATAAAAATAGTTTCATAAAGTAAAATATCGAACTATCGAATTATATATACTGAATTGAAAATTAATAGAAATATAAAATATTTCAAGATTTCAAAAGAATCTTCTTCTTAAGTTTTCTGCAATTCTAAAAATTAGCTTTCGCACGAAAATAAAGCTTTTATTGCAACTCTGACTCGTGTAAAATTAAATCTCGTATCTTTGTTCGAAACGAATTAGGCTACAGAATAGATCTTTGTAGAGGCAGTAAGAATGTTACTTCGTTTGCAATGTCAGCAAGTTTATAGTAACGATTTTCTATACGGGAAACTAATGCGAACACACTTTTCTGGTACATTGCAGATACCGTGTAACAATGGATCGACTGTCTGTTCACTTTCTAGTTTCATTGAAATATGTTTCATTGTTTGGCAAAACAAAGCCTCCACAAACCATCCATCTAGTACCGCATTTACTCTGAACTGCGCACCTTTTATCATCGAAGCGTGCACGACTCGACCACAAAAGAGACAAGGGTCAGTAAATGAATGAAGAAATCATTTCACGGTTTAAAATCATAAATAATAAGGCAAGTACGAAATGAAGGTTTAAGTTATTCACATCACATTCACATTGTGCATTTATAAATAAAGGAATATGAAAAATTAATTTCACAAGAGATTAAGTAAATATGAAACTTATCTTTCAGTGTTATCTTTGTTCTAAATACATATTTTTTAAAACCATCAGAGAACAATATATACAACTATATTAATATTAATTATATAATATTTCCATCAATATTAAACTTCCATGAATATAACAATCATATTTAGTTCATAGTACCATTTCATCAAAAAACGGTGCTTTAACACATTTTCAGGACGTAAAGAGACAAACATGCGTTTTATTAAATTCCATCTAACTAACCGAACGTTTACCACACTTCCACTAATTTATGCAAGGGGTTCGATATGAAAAGGAAATACGACACTGCAAAAGGCAAAGGCACGCTTTTATCTGGCAACTACCATTACAAACGAGCTGTAGTACAAAAGAGAATGTTAAACGTTGACTATGCTACTCGCACGGTAAACGTGTCGTAGTCAGAACGGATTTTATAAATAAATAGCGCACAATCTTTACGCTCATCAACGTCGACGTGAAAGTATTCGTCGAGTGAGAAGAATTGATTATTGAAAAGAAGTATGCAACAGCCTTACCTTGACGCGCGAATCAAACCAATAGCTTGTTCGAGAAACTTCGTCCGCAACAGCTTCTGAATTTTCTTCATAGCCTCCACTCTGAAAATAGGAGAACAACGAACAAAGTATAGACACGCGAGAAGATTCATGTACCTCGCGTTTCATTTATCAAGTCTGTCGAGAACTTGCTGCAACGATTTCGACTTACTTTTGATCCTCGATCGGTACGTCCGACGCTGCGTCGAATGGCACGACTTCCGGTATCGCCCCTTCTCGCATTACAACTGACAACTGGGGGCTGACCTCATCCCAGCGTTCCTCCATGGTTCGTGGCGGAGGCTGTTCCTTCTGCACAGTTTCTATTCGAATCCAATGTAAAAAAATCTACTCTCATTTGTCACTGATCGTAACAAATTGACCCTTACTTTTTTTGCCGGATCTCTTGTGTTTGTGCGCCTTCTTTTGCACTAATACGCTGCGGTTGCTTCTGCCGCAATAAATACTCAACATCTTCAAAAAGATGTGTACCGTTGTAATCAGATCAACCAAGTATTGACTATAAAGGTAAAATTCTCGTGTATATTCAATGTTACTTAAAATTTGGAGAAGCTTCCTTAATAGACCAATTAAATTACATTATGCTATTACACTTGTACTCTCGATTATTGAAAAACTCGAAAATTTATCGGTGGTACATACGAGTTCTAAGTTTAACAAAAATAAAAAAAAGAATGTAATAAAAATACATTACTCTGATAATAATTCATACATACGACATTAATATTGAACCAGACAATTTTCCTACAAACGCCAGCTAAACTAATAGACGTAGATTTGCCACCAATGTAAGAATCATTTTTTTTTTTAAATTCTGCACTTCTAAAACATTAGCTAAATCCGAGGAGCACTCGTTGCCGAATTAATACAGCACTGCCATACGTAAAGTTTCAAAGTGGTAACATTACGAACGAAGTTCAGTGCGCCTGTCAAGTCTTGTTTTCATCACTGTCGCCAGGGCATCACAGTAGCGACGATATCGCGGTAAGGCGGGCCGGCCTTGCATTTCCGTGGTGGAAATCCCGGCAAAACCCGTCAAACTCACGGAAACTTGAACGCCCGTCGCCTTTTCCCATTTCGCCAGCCGGAAGGTCGATAAAAGTTGTTTATTCCACCAAGAAGCGCAAAAGAAGAAGAAGAAGAAGCAGGCGAGAAAGAACCAGACAATAGCTAGGGGAGAACGCGAGAGGAGGAGAAAGAGCATTAAAGAAGCAGAGAAGTGGGTGCAGGAGTAGTAGCTGCCTCATAGTTCGACCCGATTGATTTGGAAGTGAATCAATCTGTCTCTGCGCGGGATAAAACTTTTGGTAAACAGATTTTTTTCCGTTTTCCGCTTTTATCCGCGCAACGAACAAATTTCTCCGACACGCGGACTAATATTTACATGCAAAATATTATATACTCTTGAATGCAATCCGAAATATCTTGTAAATATTTCGATATTTAAAACAGATATTGGCTTAATAAAAGAGACCACACTCCCGTCATAAGTGGTAGCCTGGATTGTAGGTACTACTTGAATCAATAAATCACAGCATGTATAATAACAAAATTTTTGAAATTTATTCTATTTGAAAAATAGATATATTTTCTGGTAAAAATAGGAGGAAAGTTTTGAAGATATTTACTTCCATTATTAAAGACCGATGTTTATTATATTCTTTTCTCTTTCAAAAATATCGTGTTATGCAGGCATTAGCAATAAGAGTGGCAGACGACAAATTATAACTACAAAATAAAACAATGGATTTTTTAGCGAGGCAAAATCATTTGTTTAATGTATAGTAGCCCAAGAGTCCACGGACCAGCCACCATTCCTTCGGAACTTCTCATCAATTTTTGTTACCCTTCCACTACAAAAGAGTGAAAGACATTAATCACTTCTACCGAAGTGTGACTGCCGCACAATTTTAATTACTACAAGTTGCATCTTTGATTAATGACAAGTTGTGCTAATGCAAGCACCGTAATGACGCCCGCGAAGTTCACGAAAAACTTGGCTGTTTAATCAGAGAACCGATTCTTATTAATTAGTGGCCTTTCAACTCTAGCGCTGATTAAAGAACTTTTATAACCAAACTTTCGTGTTCCTCGAAGCACACGTATAATGTATTGAAGTCGTTATCATCTTACCCTGTTTTAATACGCTTGTCAATGCAATTACTTTTCTTCTCTTTGAATTTAACGATTTCGCCAGGGTCAAATAATAATTCTTTGTAGCACAATGTAATTTTTTATATGTAAGTCGGGCGGGTTAAACATGACATTTCCTTTTTACCAATTGTATTTTTATACGAACCGTGACATTTTAACCTCGTCGAAGGACAGGAACTGAGTAAGAATTGTTTCCCGATATTCCGGAACATAGAATACGTTACTCTTAATGACTTTGCTGGATTCTCTAACGCCACGATCCGCGCTTTGATCCATTGCCATCAAGGTGTGCAGAAGTTCCTAAAATAAGGGAAAAACGTATTTCCTTTCGCAAATCGCGTCAAAGTGGATATCCATGATCGTGTTTCTCACCTTATATGCCTTTAATGCAACATGTAATCTACGGGACCAAAGTGGTATCTTCTTTCTATCCATGAGCATCATCTCCTGATATTGTTCCATTTGTCTTTGCGTGAAATGAAACATTTCCGTCGATATTGTCTCGCTGCGAATAGTTGTTGCATCGTCGTGAGAAAGGAAAATTAATTCGTAGTGTATTAATCAAACTTGTATTAAATGATTCAATCCAGAAGTTAGAACGAAAATTTAATTGTATGTCTTCATGCAGGTTTTTTATCAAAGACTGAAGCATAATTTTGTTAAAAATTTAAACAGTGGAAGAATGATTCGTATACTGTTAATCTTTGTAACTAACAGGAGATTTATGCTAATACTTGAGAAAATCTATTTAAAGAGTATTAATTAAAATTTGAAACAGAAATTAACATAAACATATACGTACACACTGTATCTTCATAAAAAATGGAAATATAATTTTACGGAATATTGAAATTAGTTAAAGAATAATGTCAGACAAGAATGTAAAATGAGCCACGATGCATAAAACGAGTTCTGGAACCAACCCCCTTCGCCCTTTTCAGAAGCTATTCAACGACGATGTACCTTTTTTCTATCAGAAAACAGAAGAGTTGTGTCGACTTACCTTACATATTTCACTTCGAACTTGTAATGACGATTGAACTCCATGAAGAAACGCAATGTCCAGAGATAGCAAATCGTTTCCGAGTGTTCGCTTTGATTCGCCACGATACACGACCTTGCGTATTTCATTACGGGGTTGTAAGCGGCGTTCAAAAATTCTACACAGAATTCTTTCAGGAATAGTCTCACGCTGAGGGTAGACGTACGTTCACCCTTCGGATCGGACATGGGACGTTTATTTTTTGGTGTCGCGTACCTTGTCTGTATCGCAATGAAACAAAGTAACACGTTTTAACAGAAAAATTTCAAATTGGAATTCACGAATATCAATTATGCAACCAACGTGGATGTAAATTTATAGAAAAAAATAGAATCTCTATTTTAATAACAATACAGTTTTCACGTTGAATTTAATAAGCACAAATATAATACAGTTTCTAACAAATAAAACGTAAAACTCTTCTATGATAAATATTTAATATCTAGAAGGCTTCCAATGGACATACGATTCTTTTTTCATCCAGCGGATTACTAACAATAAAACAACTCTCACTTCAAATCGTAAAGCGAGGGGTTGGAAGAATTTTAAAAGAAAGCGAGAGAAGAAAACGACGATGCCAGTATCACGAAAAATACTCGTAAAAACTCCTTGTAACAGAGTTGGATAAATATCCAGCATATTACAACGCGGCTATAAAGGGGACCGGTTTTATTTTTTATAGGACGATTCCGTGGAAAGGCTCAGGGGGAAACAAAAGGGTCAACAGGGCGAGGCGGGTGGAATTTCATAAAAGATATGACGAGAGTCAGTAATCACTTCAATTCGGCTAGCCGACAGGCATGTGACCTACTGGATTTATGACAGTTCATAATGAAACGAGCTATGTAGAATCTAGCCAAGGCAAAAAGTTTCTCTGTGCTCGAATGCGGATGTTCCGCGGAGAAGACGGGGTAATAACAGTATAAGGGAGAAAAGGATCTCCTTTCGTTGCCGAGCGCAGCATAGGAGGCGAAAGAAGAAAAGGAGGAGGAACGTTCGCGAAAAGAGTGGTGACCCAGTTTTAAATGCTTCAGCACCATTAAGCAAGGAGCCAGTTCTAATTACGCGAGAATAGCCCTAATTAACAGCCGTATTTTCATTCAAATCCAGCCAGCCTCGTTTCCACTTACTCATTAACGAGGTCCACCGCTGGAAGCCAAGGATTAATTGAATGGATCGTTTTCTGGCCTGACACTTGGTTTCCTTCATTCATACAGAATGCTCGCGCAGTTTCGAAATGACACGGAAGTTATACGATTTCCGATGATTTACCTTAGTTCTGCCGAAATTCAACGCTTCGATCTTCTGGAACGGCTTATGACACAACAGCTGATTCTCCCCGATAGCCTTCATATTCTGGACGACGTATGTGCCACCGAAATGGGAATGTCTAAATGCGATATTGAAGAATTTATATTTACGTTTACGTTTGTGTCGATCATTCAATGATTAACATTTTATACGTGATTTCACTTAGAATAATATCAACTTTGTTGGGATAATATTATGGATAACGAATATTTGTTTTTAATTAACAAATAAATTAACTCTTAGAGTTTTCACTAACTTATTTTAAATATTTGAGACATTTTGTACACATCTTATACACATCAAGGATAAATATAGGGTATACCGAGACCAATTCACCTCCAGTTTTTGGGGAAATCAGATATTTCTCACTTTTCAGTTTTTTACTTACAACATGAATGTTAAGTTTTTTAATCATTTTTGTTACTGATATTGAAGCTGAATATTTATTAATAAGAAATCTATAAAAAAATGTAGATTCCCAATTTTAACTATTAGTTTTTCACTGTTAAATCTGAACTGATCCGATTTGCCTCGGTCTACCCTATGAAAAAAGAAATTGCAAACATAATTTTCTATTCAATCAATTTTTCATGATGATTTCACTCTGAAGATTGAAAGATCCAAATCGCTATTCTAATATACAATGTACACAAATCAACATGCATAAGAGTGTGCTTGTCAGTAATTGAAAAAGAACTGATCATTCAAATCCAATTTCATCCATGACTTCTGAAAATCCAATCAATGGAATAGAAGGAGGATGTCACTAGCAGACAGTTTACTAAACGACGAGAACGTATTTTCTTCCCCTGCATTTTTCAACGCGAGAAACACGTTTTCATCGGCACGTTTATATTATCGTTAAACAGCTGCCTTTTTTCTTCTAAATACACCAATTCAATAATAAATTGAAAAAATATTCATACGTAACTACAAACTATTAAATCTTGCAATACTACAAATTTTTAGATGTCATATTTATTTTTATATTTCTATTTAAACAATGCCACGAAAAAATATCTAAATATTTTATCTTATAATTTTCCATTATTTTTATAAACTACAATCGTCATGTTAACGAAAGCAGAAATTAAATAAAATTTCAAAAATAATTGAATTCATCCTTTTACGATGAATTCTTTCTACTCTTTCGTTTGTCAAACATTGCATTTAAAATCTCGGATTGGTTTCTGGCCCGCTATCGTTTTCCAATCGAGTTGTTTATCGACTGGTTCGCGAGGCGGGCACAAAAAGGTCGATCTTTTTAGTGCTTTTGATCCTCTCTCAAGATACAAAAAGCTTTTCGCTGAAAGTAGCGGCGTGTAACAAAAAAATTCGAATAATGCATGACACAAGAATGAAACACGCGTTCTTTGGGTACAAGTGGATGAAAGCTCCTCTTTACTGGGGTTGTGCGTGCACTTACTTAAAATCCAGGTCACATTCATTACGCATCTAACGCAGCCACCAAGAGCTGCATACATTGTTGTTGCTTCCGTAAGGATATGTACCGTACAACCATTTCTTTCTCCTTTTACGCGTACGCATTCACATTTACATTTGTATATTAAAATGTAAATTACTTGTTTGCCCGGCGTGTTCATGTTGTGCGATATATCAAAAGCAAGCACATACATATTCAACGGATAATTGATATGAAATGACGTGTATGACAATGATGTATTATAAAAATTACAAAACCACGAGTATTTACTTAAATACACCTCACAAACGGTATGCATCATAAAGTAAAGTATCATTAATAAAAATATCAACAATACGAATAAAAATATTATATTCGATTAAACACGGCATTGCGTAACAGAATTTTAAATAAAACTGTGTGCGTAAAAATAGGGTTGTTCTATTGTAGATGAATATATGGATATAACCGAAACATAAAAGTGGAAATATTTTATAAGTATTTTACGAATCTTGCTAACAGAAACATTGTTTTTTATTAATTTCTTTCTATAATTACTAAGACTACAAATCGCGAAGTAAATTTCTGCAAGAATCTAGCAATTATTAACAACAATATTTTTTCAAAATTCGTGGTATTTTTATTACTTGGACAAGGTGTGAAAGGTATTTTTAATAGAAATAAGGAGAATGCAGCAGAAAAAAATGTTAAAAAGAAATACATGCGAAAAATAATAAACCTCACCTAGCACCAGCATATTTTCTTATTTTCTCCATTTTTTCTAGCTTCTCTTTCTGTCGAGCAGCTAAGAGTACTGCCTCATCTTTTTCTTTCTCGGTAGTGCTACGTTGTAAACCTGAAGTTGCTAACTGACTTGGACTTTGATCGCCCAACATTAGCGACACGATCTAACAATATTTAGTATGATATACAAAGACTATTAACATATTAAAAATTATAAGTATGATATACAAAGACTATTAACATATTAAAAATTATAAATAATAATAGTTTTTGATATACATAAAATGCAATATAAGTTCGCCTAAACAATTAACACTGCCAACTGGTGTTGATAATAAAATATATTTATTATATTCTTATAATTCACATACCTCTAATACTTGTAAGTGGTACTGTTTCTCACTTTGATTACTAGCAATAAATAGTAATAAATCAACAACCCCTGAAGCATTAAGTGCAAATAAAACCTAAATAAAGATAAAAATATAATATTTAAATGTAAACTCCAAGGCATTACATCTACTGTCATACCTCATCATGGACAGTAACATCATTATCAACACGATTTTCATTTTCATCCGGTGGTACTTGTAACACATTTCTAATAAAAATAAGGATTCTCTCAATCATCATTTCTTTTTCTTCTCCTCTTTCCATAGTATCCTACATAAGTGAGATTATAAAGAAATAAATCTTTCGCAGACATCGTTTATACATAAGTTGAACCATAAACGTACAAGTTTAAGAATTTTACTTAAACGATTGCTTAGCGTTGTCCATATGCGATCATCAATGAATGCTACCTTATATTCTTGTGTATAAAAGATAAGCTTCTGATATATGCTGTGTTGCATTTTATCTGTAGGTATTTGTTCATTGTAAAGTAATAAAACTGGACTGGTCAGATTTATAATCAACCTAGTTAAATAAATATAAGGATACTATTATTAAAATAAAACCAGATTGCCTAGAATTCTTATAAAATATCCATACATAAAGTAAAGAAGGTACTTCCTTGTGATATTAATATTCTTACAAAAAAAAATTAATTGCCTATTACTTGCCTCAATAGTACATCCCAAAGTTCAAGTTTATCACTATGATCAATGAAAATTTTAATAAGATCAGTTTGAAGTATCTTAGTTTGACCAAGAAACTGTCGTACAGTATGACTATCATCATCCCTTCTTAAATATTTAATTAAATCTTTTATAACATCTATAATAAAAAAATCAACTTTAATAATATTCTTAAAAATTATTTTAATTCATTTAATATTCAGATCTCACCTAAACAATATTTATCTAAGTGATATTTATGTCCATCATAATAACCAAGTGCACCGCAAGTTGCTGTAAGCTCAGTAGAAAGGTAATCTGACATTTTTACTTTGTTTATATACTAAACAATAATCTAATTTCCCTTAGAGAGATGTGAGAATCATTATTGTAATCAATTTTAACAAATTACCTGTAAAAACGAATATCATAATAGCATTAAAGTAACATTATCGGTATATTATATTTACTACATGTAATTTTATAAATATACACATTGGTAAAATATTCGATTCTAAATGTTTCGTAACAATATAAATATTTTCATATGTGTTACATACAATTGTCACATGCAAACAGTGAACGTCAGATTTACCGGTGCGTGGGCATTTGAGGTTAGAATATTTAAATGAGTGACAAGAAATATATTTTCAAAAATATGAATAACAGAACTTACGTCTGAATGAGGAAAATAAGGTAAAATTTCATTGAAGTTTTAATGCACTCACTGAAAATGCACAACACTTATAACAAATCAATAAATCTACACACGACACAGAAATGTCAAACGCAACAGGTGACTGAGAGAACGCGGGAAATAGTTTGCTTGAGTTTTCATATTGCCCGACAGAGTGCTATCGAATTATATGAATCGTGAATCAATCGATAAATATTCGATTTCTGAATACCGTAGATATATGTAATATTTAATTATGTTAAGAAATCTGTTACACGAAATTTATTAATTTCTTCTGATTTATTCGGAAATATTCCTATATTTAAGGAACAAATTTAATTACAAATATAATATCCGCAATTTATAAATATCATTCATTGGTAAATATCATTATATAAATTTCAATTCGCGCATTCGACTGTAAAATTACTTTTATTGCTACCGAGATAAACAATTTTATGCATTTGTCAGGTAATTTTTGTTCCGTGGTACTTCTTTTTATCTCGTGTTTAATTACCTGGATGTTTTGCACCGATATTGTACAGAAAGCAATTTTCAGGGCTTTTACGTTGGTTCAATAAAAAGCGAAATCGATGCTTAATCGACTTTAAAGCAGTCCTACTAGCTTTGATGGGACGGTCAATTTATTCGAGTTTAATTATTTTCTCTGTAGAGTTTTGTCGAGCTGTGCGAAACATTTTTAATCACTCTTCATCTCTAACTGAATATAACTGACACAATTCTACCCATTTAATTCAATCTAATACATCTTTTCTGCTCACCTAATTCCTATTATTCGTTTCAAATGAAATAAGTCTACTCAATTTATCTACTGTGTAAAATTTCATTCGAAAAATGTTGCCTTCATTCATGAAATTGGATATCCCATTTTGTGAAACGAATATTTGATTTCTAGTAAATTCAAAGGGTTCCTAACTTATTAGTTCAGTATTTGTTCGGTTTCCTTCTCTACGTGTGTACAGATTCATGTACTTTTTTGTTTTCGTTTGATTGGATGACTAGGATCATCTTCCTTAGGGGTGCGAACCACTCTGCGCCCTAAGAAATACGACAATAGGGTGGCAACCAGCTAAATCCTTCGTCATACGAGAACCGTCAAGTTCATAAATCCATGTGACAAATGTTTCGATACAGAGGGTAGGACAGTGACTCGGAATATATTCCATATTTTCAGCAATTCCAAGGAAAATGGATTAGATACGTTTTGATTTTCGCGTTGATTAAATAATGAAGTAAAACGTGCACTTTTACCTCTACCACTCGTTTAAATAATGAAGCAAAACCCAGACTTCTACTTCATTTGAATAATGAAGTGAATCGATAACTCTCATCTCAGAGAAACTGCAGTTTCTGTCAGAACACTTTAAAATCATTGAGATTAATTTCTAAATGAATCAAAAAATAGAATTGTACATTTACAAAATTCTGTAAAAAGACTTGCATACAACAAACGTGCGTTTAAAACTGTCCTCCATTCTTATGGTTTCGGATATCTAAAATGTTCTAGTACTGCAATTGTCACAAAAAGTACTAATAAATTATAATCGCCTAGTTTTTTTGGAGGGACTGTTTCACTAACATCAAAGTGTATTAGACTTTCGGTTGGTGTTTCCTGAGCCTCTTCCATTTTCCACGTGGAAGAAAGTCGTGGATGGCATGAAAGGGACGCGAGGGGTCTATTATTTTACTATAATACGGAGAGTTGCGCTCTATGTCGAGCAATCTGTGGTGGATATTGTCCACGAAGGGGGAAAATAAAGCCATAAATCCAATTTCGTTGCCAGACTATACGAAAAAGAGCGTGGTATGGTTGACCGAAGTCTCCGCGGTAAGGGTACAAAGAAAAAAGGGAAACAGGGTACGCGAAGTTTGCACACAGAATCCTCTAGAACAAAGGCAGCTAAACTATTAGAAAGATTGAAGCGAAGGGAGAGATGGGCACTAACTGTTGCAGGAGAGGACAGTGGAGGCAAAGGGTTGCGTTTGACTGCTGCGGGGACAAACATGCGCGGTGACTAATCGATATCATCCGTTCTATTCGGGTCAATAGGTTATCGGCCATTTATTACTGGATCCTCATCACCACTTGTCTGTCCATTTCGTTACAATCTCTGTCTGTCTCTTTCCTTCGTCCTGGTAATCCTTGCTTGAGTGGAACGGACTAACAGTGATTCATACACAGCTGCCGATCCTTTCATTCTGTTCACGATTCGTACATTTTGCGAATTCTACGAGCTTCAAAGTATGTATTAGATTTTGAGCAATTCATGCATCAATGTACAAATTCAACTCTGGAAGATTATCTTTGATTAAAAATATAATGATGCTACAATGGATATATTTATTGCAAATAAAATATGAACGTTATCGTGAATTTTTGAACAATATTAAATCAAAATTCACGAACAGGGAAACTTCAGCCATTCTGGGGTTTAATGTCTCATTTATCCCAGTCAAGGATTGCTTGACATTATTCGTTGCAGTTTCTGTTTCACTCTAAGCATTCTGACACTAAAAGGCCAATCTTGTTGATTCACGGGGTATTCTTTTGAGAGAAACTTTCCGGGATTTCATCGCAAAGTCAAAGTACCAGTAACTTTGAACTTTATCTTGTAGAACGCAAGGATAGCTTTGGAAAATCTCTTACGACTACAAATTCTTTGTAGACGAACTTTGCTACTTTTGAAGAAGATATTTGTCTTTTTTATTACCAAGACGTACATTGGCAAGTATATTCTTCCTGCATCTCTATGTGAAGCACCACAAATGTTCATTGAATTTCGAACAGTTCCTCGTGCCTTTTAACTTTTCAAACTCGTAAATTCAGTTTGAAATACAGAAAGGAAAATTCTGCCGAATAATTTTTATGCAGGAAAAATATCTGTGATGAATATGCAGTACAATATGGATCGAAATATAAATATTCACATTTTTATTGTGTATGCGAAGTACAGAAATTAGAAATATTAAAAAGCCACTATTACCATTCTTAGTGTAGGATAAGTTCTCTGTTTCAAACTCGCAAGTGATCATCCCCCATCTAGGCTTATTGCATTATATGGAACAGAGTATAACCCCACATTCGAAGAGACGTACTCCAGGCTACTTTGTAGTTACCCAATGGAAAACTGTAAGTCTGTCTGCTTCCCGCGAAGTTACCAGTTAAATGTCGTGTGTATAATCTATTCGTTAACTAGTTAATTTAGTTAAGTTCCGTGAGTTCCACCGCGCGTAAACATAACTGTCTGGCAAATGAGTGAGTGAGTTGGAAGCGAGAAATTTAGTCAAGCTGAAATAAAGCGATTGTATTCAGCTCTGTGAACTATAGCGACGCAAACTCTTCGTGATTTCCTAGGGCGAAGGAATCAGAGCGTTTATTACGCGGAATTCATTACACGAGATTGTTAATTATATGCGTATAACTTCTACGAGCTCAACTATTTTACAGTGGTTCCAGAATAATGGTAAAATGCACGAATATTAATTCTGCCGGTGCCAGTTCTGAATGAGGGATATAATGCATGGAAGAAAATAAAAAATTAAACTGCATTTTGATGATAAATTTGTAACTACACGAAGAGCCATACCTTTATGAAGTAAACAAGCATTAATAGAGTGCCATTTAATTACACCATAACGTATATATATATACTATGATTTTAAGCCGACGCTTTCAATTACTAATGAGACCTTCAATTATGGGAATTTATTCCTGTGAAATCGGCTTAGAGATGTCTGCATGGAGATATCGACTGTACGATGACAAGGGATTTTAACTGTTTCCAATGAAGCTCAGATCGAGTGTTGAGTTTTCTTCCTTCTTCATGTATTGATGAGAAAATATAGTCTTAATGAAGATGAAAATGACATTTATAGAATTTAATATTTAAACTATGCAAATTATGTATAAAAAATTGCTGGATTATGATAAAATAATATAAAAAATCATCATTCACATTGTGTGGTAATAAGTAATAAACAAAGAGATAATGACAGATAAACTTATGTAAACATCAACCAAATTATAAGGATAACTTTTTAGTCTTCCTATAATCATTTTTATCACGTGACTGTCATTAAATATGCTATGAAATCATCGATTAATGGATATTTGATATGATATATTATCCAGGTACCAGGTTATTGACTTCTCATGAGCTACGTCACAGCACACCAGCAGCGCTGAATGAGGTGACTGATTTTCAATGGTCGACAACTGCTCAAAAGACCGCGTTCTCTTAGGAGTTCCAACATTAAACCTGCATTCAAATTTCATCAGTCATGCGGTTATATTTCAGCCTTACGTTCGTGCAGCTGAAACCTCGCTAAGCGAGAGAGCCATTTTCATTTCATTAATGTCTGAATCAATTATGACCCATGAAACTCAGACGAGGATGTGTCATACATTCGAGATTATTAATATGTAATAAAACCATACTAAAAATATATTATAGTACTCTCATATCCGTCAATAATCGTACAAAGTATTGCAAAATTCAGTCGTTTCTATTTTTAGAAAAATATGGTAACTTTAGAAAAATTATAGTGAATTTTTTAGTCCCAAAAATTCCAACTGCTAGCCTGTTGAACATGCAGTGACATTCACTTGAAAACTATCTATCTTATGAAAATGACATCGAGTGCCACAGGGAAAATCGAAAATGACGTTTTTGTTGTGAAGCCAGTGAAGAGCCCTGTGTGAATGCAAAACATATCCCCTGATAAACACAAGTTTGCAATTCATGTATCATTCTGTTCTAAAAAATGGTAACCTATACGCAAAAAAAAATGTATTGATGCGATAAATGTAATAAAGACGAAAAAATATAATTTTTCAAGAACAATGTTGATTGTTCATAAACATTAGATTCATTAAAAAGATTTCAGATAGAAAGGGTATTACATATTTTTTTGACTGAAGAGTAACACTAAAAAGAGTGTACACCTAAAATTATCGAACCGATTCATTAGTTTACCTAATATTTGGGATCCCTTTGGCAAAATCTGAGTAGTCACTTACGTTCTTCGTTCGGGGATTACCGCCTCAAAAATTGCTCCGTTTGCGAAATTACCGTGGATCAAGTAGCTCAAAGGACACAGTAAATATTACTGCGCC